GTTATTTTTTTTAAATTAAATTAATTAATACTGCAAATAAGACATTTAAATACCAGCTAAAGTTAACATTATATGTTCCCATATAATTAACAAATAAAACATAACCTGTAGTATTTGTTTTAGGATTCTGTCTAACTTTCCAATATTCATAATTAAGTATTTGTTTGAGTCTTTCTTCACCGGTCTTTCCTTGAAATTGGCAATAATATTTTCTTTGTGTTGGACTATATCGAAAAGTAGGCTCATTTTCAAATAAATGAACAAAAACAGTTTCTGGAAAAGCATCAATGGAAAGTCGCTTAGAACCAATAGAATGCCTATTAAAGCCAAGCCGCTTTTTAATAAGAACTATGAAAGCATCTTGATAATAAATAATGAGTTCGAAAGAAGGTAAAAAAAGTGAAGTACGATGGGGTATAACTTTGTTGTTTCGGTGTTTACTTCTTTCATGTGTTAAAAGTTTGTTTCTAGTTTGAAATTTTTGTTGGCAAAGTGGACATTCGTGAGCAAAATTGTTTGCCGCATTCATTGTTACGATTTACGTTAGAAGTTTAAAATAATCGGCTGACTAGTAAAATAGATGCATCGAAATTGATTGGTGTGATATAATAATAGTAAAATAGAAATGATCGACAGTCGATCAATTTTGCAAGTGACATAATCGATGTGAGCCAAATTAGCGCATATGAAAAGCAAATTTTAATTTTGATTGGTCAATTCAAATTAACCAAATTAATGACAAATTTATTTTTTTTTACACGGTTACATAATAGATATTCTTGAAATTTTTTTTGCAACGTCCGGAATCTATTACATTGCAAATGATAAATATTGGCTATTGAACAAGAATTTATTTTGCTTATAACAAATTAAATAGTTTACAAAAATTTTTTTTTTTTATTTTTAAAATTGCTTCATTCAAAAAGTTCGATTTGTAATTACAAACTGCTTTTGCAAAACTAGCTTTGCTATTATATACAGAATATATACTAAAACAAATGAATGTCTTACTTAATACAGCCGAAACTAAGAATAATTTGTTCTAAAATGATCTCGAATAGTACAATAAATCCTTGGTTTCCAATTGACTTCCTCTTGCTTCTTTAAAGGGTCTTTAATAGCAACTTTGAATACAGGTCTTTTTTGATTTCTTCTATTTTTCAAAAGCAGATCCACACTTAAATACTTTTAAAAGTTCCTCTAACTTAGGCTTCATTTTCCACGATTGGTTCTTTTAGTTCAGCTACCATTTGAGGAACAAAACGAAATATTTGTCCTAGTTTCTCTTCTAGTTCTTTTTCCTAAAGACCATTTCGAAGAGTTTCCTCATGTTTGCTGACTTCAAGTTTACAATTTTGATGATCCATTTGTTGATGCTTCTTTTCACAACCGGATTTTGTCTGACCTTTTCAAGTTCATCATTTTTTGCTTTATTTCCGTAATTCCTTTGAACTTAATCACTTTTTCAAATTCTTCAATTGATATCTTCATTACTTTATCAACTTTCTTCAATTCCATCTTGAATACTTTTATTTTTAGAAAGGCTTATATCACGTTGTCGATTGAGATTAGCATCGAGGTAAGCTTCGATTATTTGAGCAAATTAATCTTCCAAATTAAAACCATCCAATATTAAGGCACCATTCAAGCTTTTATTCAATACGTTCCCTTTATTCCTGAGATACCTTTCATTAAGTGCTCATTCTTGTATGGATTTCCTTAACTTTATTGGTTGGTTGATCGATAAATAATAACCTATTATCAATAGCATAAAAATAAAAAGTTTACTTCAGCGTTACAGTGACGTACCAGGAAAGACATTAATTAATTTCTCGCTACGGAACAATAAACAATGATAACGTCAGATTTTTATTTACCCTTATTTGATTTATTTTTAAGGAGGAAGAAGCCTTGTAATGCTATGAAGAAAGAAGTTGCAAGTTTCAAGGATAAGTTATCGTCAAGTGAGAAAGAAAAATACCAAAATAAATTATTAAGAGAAGGAATTTGTATTATAATAGCGAAAATGATTTCCGTTGTAGTAAAATCTTTTTTATACGTGTGGTATAAAGGAACATAAAAGAAAATATTGGTGGGTAATTACATTAAGTTGGCACAAAGAATTTTGTACAATTTAGCAGATAGTCGACGACAAACGTTTTATATAA